AGAAACGAGATTTTCAATGTTAAATTGAATAGAAAACTGATAAAATTAGCACATTTCTCTTAATTGTTTTATCATTTATCAAAATATATTTCGTTTTAATGTTTATTTATAATTAATTTTTTAATGCATTAAAATTTCGCAAAAATCTTTTTGATTTGTTATTCAGTTAAAAATACTGTATGTCCAATAAAACATGTAATTCTTTTACATATAATTAATATTTCATTTGTAATCTAACAATACAACATATTTCTTATGCATTTTATAATTACTTCCAAAAATTAATGAAGTTATTAAAACATATTAGTTTAGTTGATTTTTGGGATAAAACATTTATTACTTCTACCGTAATTCTTAATAATTATTATTTGGGTAAATATATTATTATTAATTAATATATTAGTAGTATTATTAGTAATATATAAATATTCGTATTATAAAACCATTAAGGAAATGTGCTAATTTTATCAGTTTTCTATTCAATTTAACATTGAAAATCTCGTTTCTCTTTTTATATTATTTATAATTACTCTAATAATAAAACAAGGAGAATTTAAAATAATTTTTATTTAATTTTTCTAATAGATCATATATGTTCATTATGGATTGCTAAATAAATAAAATATTTATTTATACTAAATTAAGAAATAGAAAGATACCTGGATCAAATTAAATTTAAAAGCATAGTTTCAGAACTAATCAATATATTCCTTGTGATCATCAAATAGAAAAATTAGAAAAAATAAAAATTCTCTTTTTTTGTATTAATTATATGAATAGTCGGTTAAAGGGTAGAGAATTTTGTGATGAGTGGTTAATTACGAGAATGTTTAAGTGGTGTTTATATGAGTGCACATATCTTTGTTATAGGCATGATAAAGTTTCCAAACGAGTACTTATTATATGACATCAAATGGGTTACATTGAGAGAGGTTATGGTATTGTTGAGTCACAAACTCGACAAAACCAACATTCTGGCCATTTCTTAACATACTTTTATGATCATTATAAACTGATCCTAAGTTATATGGGTTCTCAATATTACATTAATCTATCAGTATAATATTTCAATTAATCAATAAGTTAATAATTAATATTTTAATTTGAATAAACACTTTCATGCTAGAATTCACGTATATGATCTATTATAAGTTATTTATGATGATATATTTAGTTCGATCAACATATCAAAAGTATAGGTATTATATATCAAGCATTACAAAATATTGAATAATAAAGTACTCATATTTCAATATTATGGTGTTTCACAATGCACTGTATTACAATATATCAAATTCTGTGTTTATTTATTGTTGAAATATATAAGAAAAATAAGTTTCAAATATTTATTCTTATGTACTGTATAATATATATAATCTACTCACTTGACAGTATAGTACTGTGAGTGTAAGAAAAAAGTGCAAATATTTATGTATTATTTATATTTGTCACAAGTTTTCTTAAGAGTCGTAAGAATTCTGGTGTATTCTCTGATCACATACAGAATGTGTACGAATGATGTATAGAGTACTGAAATGCATTATACTAAATGCTATTATTGTAAAAAACTCTCGTAGTGCTTTCAGATATAATTTTGTTCAATTGATTTTATGTCATAAAATTAGTAGTGATGAGCCTTCAATTGTTTCAAGTACAAGGTGCTAAAGAATTCATGTTTACTTAATTTAATTTTATATATAAACATTGAATATAAATTATATGAATAGTATAAATAATATAATAAAAAGTATTTAATTTAAATATAAAGTTATACATCATATAATAAATATCGTGTCATCTGTGAAATACAATTGAATGCCCTTTAGGTTCGTTTCCGACGAGTCATTCGGCGACTGTCGAGGAATTACATAAAGGGGAGTATGAAGTGGGCGGAGGGGGTGTAATACCCCTCGAAATTTTAGACACAAGCGGTACTTAAGTTGCATATAACAAGAAAAGTGTAACACATTTACATAATATGCATTTTATTGTATAATAGGATCGTATGAATTTCCAGCGATGAGACGACTGGCCATATCAGCAGGTTTTCCGAGTTTTTGCTAATAAAACTAAAAAGCATTTTGTATTCAATACAGTATTGTTTAACGAAAATGGTTTGCCATGAAAATAGGCGACGCTTTCGCTCTCATCTATTCGATCGATAGCTCGGAGTCTTTCGAAGAAGTGAAACGATTGCGCGAAACAGTACTCCAAGTGAAAGGAGACGTCTACTGTCCGATAGTAGTGGTCGGAAATAAGTCCGATTTGCCCGAAGATATGCGAGCCGTTCGCATGGAGTTAGCGGAGTGTGAGTGCATTGATTGGGACCACGGATTCGTCGAGTGCTCGGCGAAGAACAGCCAAAACATCGTCAATATCTTCTCCTCGATGCTCATCCAGGCCAGACTCAAGGGCTGCCTCAACGTCACTCAGATCTTGGCCTCCAACTCATCTAAACATCACTCTTCACATCACTCCAGAGACCATAACCCAGGTAGTGAATACAGGTCTCATAACCAGCGCCGGCGTTCAAGTCTTCCCATAAGCGAACTCTTTCATCGATCGCAACCTCCTATGTCTGGCTTAAGTCAACAGAGTAGGGATAGGGATAGGGATAAGCTTTCATTTCGCAAACGAAACAGTTGTACCCCTTCCTAATCCATACGTGATTTGTCTTCATTACCATTCATTACGAAAGGGTTTGTTCTCTTCAAGCCATTGCCAACCCTGTTGTCATTGAATCTGACATTTCAGTCAATCACTGCATTGACTTCATTGACTACATTCACTCACTTCTATACATATTCTTATGAATTACAGAATTTATTATAGATTAAAAGTACAAAAATGCAAATATACTCTGATTACTAAATGAGTTTAAATTTAGACATTTTTGTAGAATTCGTTGACTTTATTTCAATTTCATCTATTAATAAACACCATAATTATATACATATTCGTTATGTGATATACATATACTGATCAAATAAAGTGAGGTATATTTATATGAATAGAAATAGAGCTCAAAGAATATTTGTGTATAAAAATTATCTGTATTTTAATCGTTAGGATTATAGAAAAGTGATGATTTATAGTAAAACTCTTTATAATTAGTACTGAAAACCCTTTAGAAGCAAATCCGAGCAATTGGTGTGATAACTAAATTTTGAACCAAGATTTTGATTATTGTTGGAAAACACATTAGTATAATATTTTTCAAAATATACTTAATGCCACTTAAAACTCAAAATCGCAAATATATTATATTAAAATCTGTTACATTTTCTAGTTGTTTCTGTATCCTAGTTTACATTATATACATTATATAGTATGTGTCATTTTATTCAAATAAGAATTTCTTAATAATGGATTATTTTAGTCTTTGTATAATTGAGTCGAGAGAGAGAGAGAGAGAGAGAGAGAGATTTTAGTTTAAAAATTCTACAAATTGAAATATTGTATTATTAATAAGTTTATATAAAAGCGATTATTTAGTTGAAATTGAATTTATGTTTTGCTACAAAAGATGGCACAGAAATTCTCCATAGAATTGTATTGTACTTAAGTTAACACATTGTACTGACTCGTGGCCCACGAGTCGTTGGTTTAATATACTATATTTAATTTAAAGGGTTACAAAAATAAATAAGTTTTAATTAATTAATCTTATTTTCACAAAAAAAGGATTAAACATATAAAACAAAAATATGAACATAAAACAAGAATTCTTATTATTAAAATAATTATTAATATAATTAAAAACCTAGTGATATATTTTATTTTTGTTTAGTTTTCTTCATTAAGTTTTAATTATAAAATATTGATTGTCAATAAATTGTCTTTAATTTAATTTTTATTAAATGAATAAAATTTTTATAATCGTAATTTCGTTTAAAATAAAATTGATTTTAGCAATTTTTATATTTATTTATATTTACAAATAATAAGAAATTCTTCTATTAATTACTAAATTAATTTAAAATTCTTTACACAAACTGTATAAAAAGATCTTGTTCAGAATATTAATTTAAATCATTAACAATTTCAAAGATAATTTAAAAATTTAAAATTTGAAAAATTAATTATTAATAAATAAATACATAATTGATAGTTTCATTCCATAAAATCTACATTTATTTCTTAAATCGTTAAAATATACTTGATTTCTATTAACAAAATTAAAAAGCCAAAATAAGAATTCAAATATTTTAATTATTTGGTTATATATTTAATTTGTTGAAAACAAACTTAAATAAGAAATTCTATAGTATAACTTAATTTTAGTCTATTAAATGTAACATAATATGAATGGACTTTTATATAAAAACATATTAATCTTTTAGACATTAATAAGAATTCAAAGACAATAGAGTACTGTAGTTATGAATAATAAGGAGAAACTGATATAAAACTAAAGAATAGTCAGAGAAGTATTTAATACATTTAAAGCATTTAAACATTTAATTAAAATATTTACTAAAGTGTCGTAAAAAGAGAAAAAGTAAATAATTAAGAATTTATTGAAAAATTTTGGATGCAATGAATGCTATGTTTTGAAGCGTCTGTCTATAAATTGCTAATTACTTTCGGCAACTGGTTGTACGGCTGAGTTGACTCATCAAGATTACAGACTCTGCATAATATTTGGTCTTA